GAGGGAAAGAAACAACAAAGGTTGGAGAGATTGTGGAGAAAGGGGAACCCTCTCACACTGTTGGTGGGAATGCAAGTTGGTATAGCCACTTTGGAAAACAGTGTGGAGGTTCCTCAAAAAATTAAAGATAGAGCTACCCTATGACCCAGCTATTGCACTACTGGGTATTTACCCCAAAGACACAGATGTAGTGAAAAGAAGGGCCATATGCACCCCAATGTTCATAGCAGCGATGTCCACAATAGCCAAACTGTGGAAAGAGCCGAGATGCCCTTCAACAGATGAATGGATAAAGAAGATGTGGTCCATATATACAATGGAATATTACTCAGCCATCAGAAAGGATGACTACCCAGGATTTACACTGACATGGATGGAACCGGAGGGTATTATGCTAAGTGAAATAAGTCAAGCAGAGAAAGTCAATTATCATATGGTTTCCCTTATTTGTGGAACACAGGAATAGCATGGAGGACATTAGGAGAAGGAAGGGAAAAGTGGGGCGGGGGGACCCAGAGGGGGAGACGAACCATGACAGACTATGGACTCTGAGAGACAAACTGAGGGTTCTAGAGGGGAGGGGGGTGGGGGGATGGGTTAGCCCAGTGATGGGTATTAAGGAGGGCACATTTTGCATGGAGCACTGCGTGTTGTATGAAAACAATTAATCATGGAACACTACACCAAAAACTAATGATATACTGTACGGTGACTAACATAACATAATAAAATAAAGTTAAAAAAAAAAGAAAGTAAAAGAATCTGAAAAAAAATAAAACCTGTATCATACTAAACTACAAATTGGCATTGACTAAGTTGTATAGGCTGACTTTAATTTTTACTCTAAACTCCATCGTGGATGATGCAGGGAAAAACCTGAAGTGACATTTTTGTACAACTGAGCCTGTGACTGGATTTTTTTTACTTCTTACACAGGAGGTGTTTAGAGGTATTTGGCCTTTCACCATCCCAAAACTAAGTAAATGGGTGTCACTAGTTGAAAATCCTCAGTTGTACATGAATGGGTACTGGGGGCAGCTAAGGAGATCAGAGGAAAGCTGGTTCTGTTGATATGACTTTCTGCAGAGAAGTAAAGAACAGAGTTTTCTAGAGTTGATGTTGGTACGTTCATGAGTGAGAAACAATTGCAGATATTCTATAGCTTTTCCAGGAACTTAAGTTATTCCTCTCTTCGGCCTCTCAGTGCACAATAAAATTCTATTATTATTAAAAGGCAAGTTTTTTTCTTTATGTGCCAGAAATTATGCAGGCATTTTAGATTCATTATCTCATTACATCCTTATAATAAGCCCAAGAAAAGCTACTATCACTACTTTCGTTTTTAAGAAGAGGGAAATGATGGCGCCTGGGTGGCTCAGTTGGTTAAGCGACTGCCTTCAGCTCAGGTCATGATCCCAGGGTCCTGGGATCGAGTCCCACATCGGGCTCCTCCTGCTCTGCGGGGAGCCTGCTTCTCCTTCTGCCTCTGCCTGCCACTCCCCTGCTTGTGCTCTCTCTTTCTCTCTGTGTGTGTCAAATAAATAAATAAAATCTAAAAAAAAAAAAAGAGGAAAATGAGGCTTAAATTGTGAACACATCCAAACTCTGACAGTTATTGGTTCAGATCCATCTCTGCCCTTTATCTAAATCCAGAGCCCAAGTTCTTAACCATCTGTGTCACATGACCATTTACAAATAACTATAATGATGCCCCCTCCCTCAACTTTAACCCAATCATCACTTTTTCCATCAAGACTTACTTGAGACCCAGGAGGTGATGACAGTCTTTTATTTCCACCTTGAGTGTGGGTGATAGAAAAAGAACAGAGATTTGAAGGGGCACATGCACCCCAATGTCCACAATTGCCAAAATATGTAAAGAGCCTAGATGTCCATCAACAGATGGATAAAGAAGATGAGGGAGATATATATACGTGGAACTAGAGGGTTTACTTATTATGCTAAGTGAAATAAGTCAGTCAGAGAAAGAAATACCGTATGATTTCACTCATATGTGGAATTCAAGAAACAAAACAGATGAATATAGGGGAAGGGATGGAAAAATGAAGAGGAAAACAGAGAGCGAGGCAAACCATAATAGACTCTGAACTATAGGGAACGAACTGAGGGTTGCTGAAAGGGAAGTGGGTGGGGGGACGGGGTAACTGGGTGATGGGATTAAGGAGGGCACTTAAGTAATGAACACTGGGCGTTGTATGCAACTGATGAATCACTGAATTCTACCTCTGAAATTAATACAGTATATGTTAAATTGAATTTACATAACAATTTTTAAAAAGGAATAGTCATATATTTGTGTGAAGGAGAAATGAGATATTGGCTTTGAATAGGATGTTCAGTTATTGGACTTGTCATGTCCTCATACTGCATTCACCAGGGTGCATTCACCAGGGTACATTCCCTTCCACCCTCTTCTGAAATTAGCCCCTTCATGAAAGTTTGTGAAAGAGCCCAGACATGACTATGGTTGACAATGGGATTAAATGCCCTTCTGTAACTAAGCTCACACCCTAAGTCCGATAGGTCTGGGTGTTGTCATGGGCGGTTGTCCCTGGCTGGAATGGGAGCACACGTCCACATGGTATTTCTCCTCTTTACTCTCAATCATTCGATGACATAGGGGGATGAAGCTGGAGATAGTTGTTATTTGATTTTGGTCTGTGGTAGACCCAGAAGATCACCAAGAAACACCATAGTGGAGTATTTCTGAGATTATTTGGCTAGAAATTTCTTAATACTAATCCTACTAAATGCGATTTAAGCCCAGAATAAAAGCCCAGGATAAAAGCCTTGGATCTCTATACACACTTAATGCTTTACGTAGTATAAATCATGGATTTATACCTAAATCTTTAGGCAATTTGCCAAAGAACTATCCCATGACAAAGGTTCCTTGTAATTCCTTCAGCATTGGGGCCGCTGATGGATTTGAATATTTTTCTTTATTTTCTCCAAAGTCCAGGGCTATGAACAGGAGATAATTCTGTAAAATAAACTTTTAAGTCTTGGACTTCTATAGTATCTTTTCATCAACTCCTAATTAAAAAAATAACAATAGTAGGTAGATTATATTTGGCACCAAAATTTACGTTCATAGAACATAACCTTTCTAAAATAAGTGAACTTGAGTTTGGCACTGGAGTCCAGAGTCCTTGATAAGGAATGGGGGAATGAGCACCCCTCATCCCAAAAGAACAAAGAAAAATTAATATGCCCCAACTAACCTTAGTGTTAGGTATAGGATTCTAAGGAAATAAAATAGCACAAACTCTTTTCCTAAAGTTTAGCTTAGGGGCAGTCAGTTGGGCGGCTGCCTTTGGCTCAGGTCATGATCCCAGAGTCCTGGGATTGAGCCCCACGTCGGGCTCCCTGCTCAGTAGAGAGCCTGTTTCTCCCTCTGCTCCTCACCTCGTTCACTCTCTCTCTCTCTCGCACTCTCTCAAATAAATAGAATCTTTAAAAAAAATAAAGTTTAGCTTAAACCCCTAGCTAGTTCCAAATTTGTTTTCCTTTAAACATTTTTTTTGGATGATATGAGGTTTGAATACTACTCTGGCTTAATCATTGGCTTCTTTAGATTATACTTTCAAAATACTAAGATTTCTTTTTAACCTTAGGTAAGTCATCTTAGATTTTGTAATGGTTTGTAAACTGAGGTTAAATGAGCATTTTAGATTTGAAGTCTAAAATATTTTAGAACTAAAATGGACATACAATAATTCTGAATCACTAGAATTGGGAGTAGTTGCTTTATTTTTCATGCATTACCACAAAATTCTTGTAGGTTTCTAACCTGAAGTAATTATCTTGTTATAGAACTTCTATGATAATAAATAAAAAGGGTCAAATCATAACAAAATAAGTATGAATCAAGAATTTTCCAAAAAGATCTGAAGTTGTTTCAAGGTTTGTATCTATCACTCCGTTTCCACTTAATCTCATGACTTTTACTCCATTCTTACCCGACTCCTTTCATGTCAGTTATCACACTGTTACTTTCTTCCCTCTGTCATTTTATTATTTCAGTGTGGCTACTGTACTTCATGACCATTTCAGGACCTCCCAAACAAAATCTCTTAGTGTCCTTCTGTCTCCTCCTCCCTGCTCCCAGTTAATTATTAAGAGGAAATGTGGGATATTGCATTTCCATTTATTTAAATGGGGGAATAACCTGGCTTGAGAACTTTAACTCCTGTGGGCAGGAAAGTCCCAGTCCAAGTACTATTTGATTAAGATTTCTCACATTCATATTGCCATCATCCTCAATGAAAGGTGTTTTCTGGGGCAAACCAAAAAGATTGGAAAAGCTTGCCAGGGCAGATGAATTTTTCCAAGTCTTTACTAACAATTTGTAAACTGTCTTCAAGACGGTATTAGAGTATAATTTTATCATCTACAAATTGTGCAAAACATTCTCCAAAGAGAAGCTAGAAATCCTTTATCAAAAATGTCAAAGAAATAATCCTACTTCTGTGGCTTTGCAATTTTATGTCAAATATGAAAAGGGATACTGTATAAAAACTCATACCCTGGAGCACCTGGGTGGCTCAGTCATTAAGCGTCTGCCTTCGGCTCAGGTCGTGGTCCCAGGGTCCTGGGATCGAGCCCCGCATCGGGCTCCCTGCTCCGCGGGAAGCCTGCTTCTCCCTCTCCCACACCCACTGCTAGTGTTCCTGCTCTCACAATCTCTCTCTGTCAAATAAATAAATAAATAAAATCTTAAAAAAACCACAAACAACCTCATACCCTGATTTCCCCATTCAGATATTCTTCTCTCCACTTTGAGAAAATCCACAGTTATGGGGAATATATTCTAGCATTCTTCTTAGACTTTTATCACCACACCTCAGGTAAGACCCAGTTGCATGGGTGTTACTGCGCTGGCTTCCCCAGTCAGAGTCTTTTTCTGCCATCATTATCTGTATGCCCCACAGATGCAGAAAGGTCACTTGGGTTGAGCGGACAAGGAGAAGTCTCTCTCAAATCTGTGTGGTGTGGACTGCATAGACAACGGGGTTGAGGATGGGGGGGATGAGGAGGTAAAGGTTGGCCAAAAGAATATGGATATGGGGAGGCACATGATGGCCAAAGCGGTGAGTGAGAGAAGAAACAGCCATGGGGATAGAGAAGACAAGAATGGCACAGATGTGGGAACTACATGTCCCTAGGGTTTTAAGCCTAGCTTCAGGGGTGGCCAACCCCGTTACAACCCTGAAAGTCATCACACAGGAGGCGGTGATGGCGAATGAATCCAGGATCAATACCAGGAAGCCAATTCCCATTCCATATAAGTTGTTGACTGTTGTGTCACCACATGCCAAGGTAACTATGGCCATGTGTTCACAATAGGAATGGGCAATGATTTGGGTCCGGTAAAGAGGCAGTCTCAGGCGAATCATCAGGGGCAGGGGTCCAATGTAGAGTACTCCACGGAGGAGGGCAGCCAGGCCCAAAAGACCCACTGCTGCATGAGTGAGCACCAAGGTGTGGCGTAATGGGTCAGAGATGGCCACATAGCGGTCAAAAGTCATGGCAAGGAAGATTCCTGACTCAACAGTGGCAAAGCAGTGAATGAAGAACATCTGGGTCAAGCAGGCATCCAGGTCAATGTTGTGGGCACCAAACCAGAAGAAGGCTAGCAGTTTGGGCATGGTAGATGTTGACAGGATCAAGTCAATGACAGCCAACATACACAGGAAGAAGTACATGGGTTGGTGCAGACTGCATTCCACCTTTATCACTGCCAGGATGGCCACAATTCCCACTACAGCCACCAGGTACATAGAGCTGAAGGGAATGGAGAGCCAGATGTGCAGGGATTGCATCCCTGGAATGCCAGTAAGCTAGAAAGAACCAGGCACCAAGCAGGCATTATTAGACATGAACATGTTTCAGGCAGTGGAGTATCCAGGAGATAGGAATGCTTATTAGATTTTTACTCTTGTGAGAGAGATTGTCTCTGAAAACTGTAGACTACTAGATTCTTATTTTCATCCTGTGCAACTGGTGGAACCTATAATAAAGAATTCTGAATGTCTACTTGATATATTACAGATTTTATTAAAGAAACTGTGGGGGTGCCTTTTATTTTATTAAGGAAACCCAGGTGCCTTTTATTTTGTTAAGGAAGCATTGGCTTCTCTAATAAAATAAGCTTAACCGACTTAGCCACCCAGGTACCCCAAGAGCGTGGAGTTTAATTCAAGTCCTGTCCTGTTTTAGGGTTGCCATCCTGCTGTTTCCCATCAGAATCTCAGCAATATTAAGTCTCAGACTCCCCATCCTCACCATGGTGACTCTTCACACAGCCATGTTTTTGCTGAGAGGTGTCACCACCTTTTTGGTTTTTACCTAGGCAAATTTCCCCCATTCTTCAAGGCCCATCCCAGATTATTTCCCTTCTAAAAGGCTTCTTTGGGATCTGTAGTCTATACCAGAGTGGGTGAGTCGTCACTAAATTCCCAATTGTCTCAAACAAGCCCATGCACATTTAAAATATTCTTATAATTGCTATTTATATTTTAGACATTTCCATGACAAATAAGCATAAAAATGCCCCTATGTATCCTCAGGGATTCCTAATTCTAGCTCCAACATAAATTTTTACAAGTTTGTTTACTTCCTGGTCAGCCACTGATTGGGTGCTGAAAAGAAAAATGAGTTTTGTGAACTTCAAAATGTTCCACAAGTGTTTTTGTTACATTAACTCACCCACTTCAGCAATTCTGTGAATTAAGTACTTTAATATTCCAGTAAGTGATAATATGTGAAGTCATTGTCCTTAGCTCAAATGTGAGATTCTGTGGATTTATTGGACAGATAGGAAAGGGAAAGATGTCCTGGAGGCCGCACCACAGAGGCAGCTCAGAGCACGAGCTTTGCCATCTAATAAACCAGATTTCCCATCGCAGACCTTTCTCTTACTCTGTATCTGGGCAAGTAGCCTACCCTCTTGATGTCTCATTTTTTTCCATATAAAATATGGGGAGAGTATCAACTACAAAGGATAATTATAAAGAAAAAATTAAATTAGTGTATGAGGTTCTTGGCACATGGCAGCAACTTTCTTTCCCTGAATTCTTACTGTTCACTATGGGGAGCAGATCAGAACTTTAGATTCTGCAAATTGGCATAGTTTCCTATGTTTCCCTGATACATGGGACATCTTTAAGGAGGTCTCAAAAGTCTAGGAATTATGTAGATGGGACAGGGACTTAAGGGGAACAATAAAAAAAATATACAATTCTATCTCACACCAAGGAGAAATAAGTGTTGTCTAAAAATATTGTGATAGACCACCAATCCAAAGCAGAAAGAGGCCTGATTACTCAATGTAAGGTAGATTACTTATCACAAAAAGAATTAATGTTCATAGGATGGACTTAAATTAAACCCAGATTTCTAACTGATTTGTGCCAGACCCAAATTTTGGGCTGGTAGAAGCAGAATATGAATATATATAAAAATAAAATCCACCAAGTTGATAACTGGCATCTTAAAGGGGTGGTTTGAACTAGGTTGTAGCCCTGGAATTGTGTCACTTTACCTAGAACATTATAGAGAAACATTTTCTGTGTCAGCCCGCATAAAGCCTTCCCCACCTGGACACTGGTGACCAGTGTCTGCAAGTCCTATAAGAAGCATCCTGGTAGGTCTGAGGCTCCTGAGAAAGAGGTTTTGTTATGGCAAAATAAATATGGATTAGCAGCAAGACAGAATTAGTTTCAAATGCTAACTGCTGTTTCTGACTCTGATTTAGGGAGTGTATACTCTTTGCCTCTGCTTTCAATCCTGTTTCCTAGTCTGTGAAATGAAGGAAGTAATAGCTACCGTAGAGTTGATTCATGTATTAAATGAACTGTTTATAAATGTGAGCGTGTGTGTGAGCATGCGGGTCAAGTGTTAGGAAGCCTAGTCTCTGGAATAGGCACTGTGTTCCCTCCTTACCTACTCCTCCCCTCTGTTCCACAGAACATCGACACATAGTACCATTTCCATAGGACCTTGGTGACTCCATAGCCTTCTTTCCTAACTATATGAGTAGCTTTTTTAACATGGGCACAGTCAGTTGAAGAGACCTGCTGATGGTATAAGGATCAGCTGAGGAGAGAAGGTTGTCTGACTGTGGGGCAAGAGACCAGAGGCCCAATAAGGCTAGAATAGTCCAATTTTTCCTCTTGTGTCCTGATGGACAGTACTAGGCAATGAGGTTCTTGCCTTCAGGTTTCTCCTTTTTCTTCATAACCCAGGCCAAATTGTGCTCTATTTATTCTACTTTTGACTAGACCCAGGAAAAAATAAGCCCTGGTTGACCCAGAAGACAAATATAGTTTCTGGAACTTGGAGTTTACTCCCAGTGACTTTGACCCCCCTCTCTGGAATGTACTTACCCATTGGGAGTGCTGTCCACAGAGCTCTAGGCTGTGTTCCTTACAGGGGTCACCTCTTGTCTGGATGCTTGGACAAATTTAGAGTCAAGGGAGGCCATAGCCCTGCTCTCTTCACTATTTTGTCCTGTGTCCTCTTTATCCAGGTGCTGAAAATAGCCAGTTATTTCCCAAGGGCTGCACAAAGAAATCTGTGCCCATCCCTCTGGACCTTTATTTATCCCACGTTGGGAACAGTCTTCAGCTCCTAATTCCACTCCACTCCCAGGACTAGATTATAGACTTAACTTCTATTCCCCTGGCTGGTGTTCTTGACTGTTCTCTGACTACCCAACCCCCGAGCCTGAGGTATTTTAAGGACTCCAAGGGGGACACTGGGAGAAAGTTCACAAAAGAAGGGTGGAAAACCACCAGATGTTGATATAATCCATATGGATACTTTAGTTATTCCTTATATTATTTTAAAAGAAATCTAAGCTATGCCTAGATTTACTTTATGTACTATGTATATTTCACCAACACTGTAATTTTCCCTTCTGCTTTTTAAAAAAGCATGTTTGCTTAAAAACAAGATTTGTGGGACACCTGGGTGGCTCAGTCAATTAAGTGTCTGCCTTCAGCTCAGGTCATGATATGGGGGTGCGTTGGGGGTCCCTGCTTCTCCCTCTGTCCACCCACAGCCCCACCTGTTCATGTTCTCTCTTTCAAATAAATCTTAAAAAAAAAAAACCCAAGACTTGTAATCACAAATTACAATGTGTGTCTATACAATGTGTGGTTACTTTTTCACTTCCCAGAGTAGTGGGCTCATTTCAGTTTTTATATGCCAAGTGGTACAGTTATCAATATTTTTTCTGTTCAGCCTTAGGATAGGATCCCAGAAGGTAGATTACTGACCATTGTTCAGGACAAATGAATCCTGTTGTCAAAGTGCTTTCCAAAAGCGTTCTTCCAGTTTATGTTTAGCCCAGTGTCAAATGAGTTCATTTGCTAAATTGCCCTTCAGTAATTTTTGAAATATCCATTGTGTAGATGAACAAAGGAAAACCTTGTTTTCATTTTATTTCTACAGTGTGAATGTTTTTCTGTATTTGAACAATTTGTGGCCAATTTATTTTGAACAGTTTCTTTTCCCATTTTTTCTACCACATAATATTCTTAAATGAAGTGGGGAGAATGATTTAATGATTTCAGAAAATACAGCAAGGTTGGAAATGTTCTCTTTTTGTTTCAAATTTTTATTTAAATTCTAGTTAACATATAGTGTAATATTAGTTTCAGGAGAATTTAGTGATTCATCATTTACACGTAACACCCAGTGCTCATCACAAGTGTCTTTAATACCCACCACCCATTGAGCCCATCCCCCTGCCCACCTCCCCTCCACCAACGCTGTTTATTCTCTATAGCTAAGAGTCCCTTTTATGGCTTGCCTCTTTTTTCTTTCCCCTATGTTCACCTGTTGTTTCTTAAATTCCACATGAGTGAAATCATATGGTATTTGTCTTTCTCTGACTTATTTCACTTAGCATAATACATACACTCTAGCTCCAACCTCTTGTTGCAAATGGCACGATTTCATTTTTTTTTTGATAGCTGAGTAATATCCCATTATGTGTACACACACACACACACAGACACACACCCTCTGGTTCTGTTTCTCTGGAAACTCCTAAATTCAGCTTTTGGAAACTAGAAGAACAGACCTGTAAAGAGGAGTTTTCTAAATTGATTCTGGTGTCTAGAATTGATTCTCCAATCTGATTATATTTTAAAACACCACAATTTCCAGCAGTAAAGAAGGAATGAACAGTTCATGGCATGATAGGGCAATAGAGATACCTGAAGTAATACCATTGGATACTTGTAATCAAACACTTATAGGAGGCAAGGTTATAGGTGACCATGTAGGATAGCTTCAAACATTTGTCAAATTAATAAGTAGAATGGAATTGGCTGGTTATTCCTAATATCACTGGACAAAGTGGGGAAAAAAAAGATGAGCTCAGACATTCGAATTCCCAGCTCAAGAACTACATAAATGACCTGACAGTGTCTATGTGTGCCCTGTGGCCACAGGGCTGAGACTGCTGGGGAAAACAAACAAACAAACAAACAAACAAACAAACAAACCTCACAGAATATTATCCTGGGACTGACTCAATTACAATGCAAGTTGAACTCAGTCTTGCAGGGTCTCTAAGAAAGTAAGGGTCTTGATTGGGAAGAAATGGGATCCTGAAAGTTGGAATGGGGGTATAGGAGAAGACCCTGATAAGGCTGGGACATTGAGCCCCTTCATTCTGATGAATCTTCTTTGCCAGTGGAAGAGGCCTCTCTACCTGTCTGAAGGGGATTAATCCTAAATTGGCTGAGGAAACTGTAGTGACTTCCCCTAAGGCAGTTGCCATACAGGATAATGCAGGTTCTCCTTAGGA